GTTGGAAAGAGGCATCGGCTGTGTTTTAAAAATGTCCCGATTATGAGTTATTGATGCGGGAAGTGCGAATCTGTGAATATATTGCCAACTTTACTGCAGTAACTTACATCTGCTGCTCACACACCACCTCCAACTTGATATTTACAGCAGATGCAAACAAGGAAACTCAGGTTTCAGCTTTTAAATCAAATGTCTAATTTCGGACTGTATGTGTGAACTGGCTGATGGTGTTAAATGCTCATACAGCTCTAGTACTCGGTCCTTACTCTGGGAACTAAGCAGTGTTCAGTTTTGCCTTTATGTAATCAGCATTACAGCAGGGACATTTGAAGTAATATGCAACAGAAGCTTTGAATACGTTGGATGTAGGTGTTTAATGTCAAGTATTATAGTATTTTAAATTATTTTCTATTTTAATTTTGTATAGATTTTTTTTTTTTCAGATGGCTGCTGTGAAAAATGTGAATTGTACATTGTTGGCTGGACTAAACAAGCAGCTTGGATGCAATTTTCACTATTTTTTATATTTTTTTGGACTAACTGGTTAATTGAGAAAATGACCATAAAGCACTTGAGTGCCCAGGCTACAGACCACCTGTATCCTGCAAAATGTGACACCAAGCGTACAGAACAGACACCTCAATCCAGAATTGCATCAAAGCAAATCTTTTATTTTACATCACAACCACAACATGATGAAATTAAATAATATGAATGGAAACATAACACAAACTTTGGCATGAACACAAATTGGCACATGAAGGAGCAATGTGATCAGTTGTATATAAGCTATATCTATACACATTACAGAAATGGCTGACTTTGAGTGATAAAGCAAATTCTCCACATATCCCTGCACTGAATATCTTTGGGATATTTCACACAGCCTTCACAGCCCATAAAACATCCAGGTACAACATCAAGAGTCGGTCTTCATTCAGCATCATCATATAAATATATATTTCTACATCTGTGACAATCAAAGTCAGGCCATAAACACGTTTTCAAATAAATAAATAATATAAATAATAAGAATGATGGTACGCACAATAAGGAAATAATGGCCAAAGGAAGATTGAAAAGCGAAACAAAAATTCTGTATTTAAAAAAAAATGAGAAAGAATTAAACAAAGTGAACGTATTAAAAACAAAAACCCAATAAAACATATTTTTTGGGCAGGTTTTCCAAGACTGTTGTGACTTCCTGTATTTGGTTTGTGTTGTAGGTCCTATGTAGAGTGACTCATATTATTTGTTTCTTTGGGTCTTAAACGCGGAAGAGCTTTGCCCCATATACTTTTTCAATAATCTTTGTAAAATCATCTTCATCATAATAGTTCATTTGTCAATATTTTGTTTCTTGGGTTTGCTCCTCTCTTCACTGTGCATGAAGAGAGAGGAGCAGCAAGTGCTAATATTCTCCTACGCCTGTGTGAACGTCCGCGTTTTCTCTGTTTCATCTCAGCCCCACTGCAGAGCCCAGGCCGGCCTCGTCCCTCCACATAAAGTCCTGACGCTCGCCTCTGACCAGGCTGCTCTCCACGGGGGTGTGCCTGTACCCGGATCTTCCGTCGGGGCAGAGGGAGAGGCTGAGGTGGGCCGTGCTGTTGCTGATCTTGAACAAGCCGTTGGGAACGAGGAAGGCTTCTCTTTCGCTACCTCCCAGGTTGTTAACTGTCTCCAAGTCGTTGTAGACTGCACTGTCGTTCAGCTGCTTCCTCCCCTGCAGTCTCCTCCTCCTCAAGAAGATGATACCCGCCACCAGAACCAGCACCAGGACGGCCAGGATGCAAGAGACAGTGAGGGTAGCGGAGGAGGGCTGGGAGGTTTGGCGCAGAGCGGGCTTGAAGCTGGGCTGGAGCGTGAACTCACAGCTCGGACCCATGAAGCCCTTAGGGCACTGGCACACTGGCCCGGTGAAGTGTGTGAAGCAAGTGCCACCGTTCTGGCACGGACGGGCGCCACAGGCATCTGAGCGCACGCTGCAGTTCTTGCCGGTGTACCCCAGGGTGCAGGAACAGGTGTAATCGTCCACACCATCTTGGCAGGTTCCGGCATTCTGGCAGGGGCTTGAGGCGCAGTCGTCTATGTTGACCTGGCAGTTGGCACCAGTGAAGCCCGCTTGACAGCGGCACAAAACACTTTGGCCAAGGTCCAGACACTCTCCACCTGCCGAAGGAAAAAATACTCAGTTCAGCATCCAAGAGATCAGGGACAGGCGTTTGTTTAAAGGAGTGTTAATGGGATTACATTTAACACTCTCTCTGCTGTAAATTGCTGCGAGTGCTGACAGTAATGCCCATTCACTAAAACAATCTCATGTTCAGCCAAGAAACTGGTGCTCTGCACTTCAGCCACAAGGTGTCGCCATAGCGGAAGCACTCACCATTCAGACAGGGCCTGTTGCTGCAGCGGTCCAGCTTCTTCTCGCAGTTGGAGCCAGTGTAGCTGGGGGGGCAGCGGCAGGTGTAGCCTCCGGTCATCGTCTCCACACAGGTGCCACCGTTGAAGCAGGGACCGTCAGCGCATGTCATGGCAATGATCTCGCAGTTTTTACCATAGAAACCCTGCGGGCAGGTGCAAGAGTAGTCGTTCTCCAGGTCCTGTGAACAGAGAAGGTGAAGAAATGTTGTTGTTATAGTTAGAGATATTACCTATTCACTAAATAAATAGGTTGGTTAACAACAACTGGATTTGCCAACTGTAACCTTTTGCACCACTGTGTTTGCTGCTATAAGTGCAATAGCTGTATTTAAGCTGCATTTCACTTTTTTTGTCTCCTCATTTTATTTCACTTTATTTGTGAGTATTTTAGAGTTACTGGTCTTGTACTTGTGTTGCAGTGACACTTGAGTGGGATCAATAACAGTTATCTTATATGTGATATCTTGTTTCTTTGTTTTGGTGTACACTCACATTGCAGCTGCCTCCGTTCTTGCAGGGGTTGCTGTCGCACTCGTTGGTTTCCAGCTCACAGTTGGTGCCTCCGAAGCCGGGCCGGCAGGTGCAGGTGTAGCTGCCCTGGCCCGTGTTGGTGCAGGTTGCCCCGTTAGCGCAGGGCTTGTGGTTGGTGCAGTAGTTGAGGTCCTGGTCGCAGAAGAGGCCCCCCCAGCCCTCCTGACAGTTACACTGCCACGGTTGGCTGCACGTCCCGTGGAGGCAGCCTGGGTAGCGGACGCATTCATTGCAGGAGGGGCCCTGCCAGCCCATGCGACACGTACAGCCCCCAGGGGCCTCGCAGTAGCCGTGCTTCTCACTGCAGTCCGCCGAGCAGATGGCTGGAGAGGAGAGAGGGGAGGGTGTGTGATTACAATGGGCACGCCTTTTCACACATCTCACACACACACACACACACACACACACGTGCAGGTCCCCCGTCTGACCCCAGCCCTGTTCCAGACTTCACTGTTGGTTAAGTATTAAGCCAAGCAGCTGGTAGGCACACTGCTGGAGAAAAATGCTTTCTTTTATCTCTCTCAACACACACACACAGATCACCTTGAAAAATGTGTGTGTGTAATGGGGGGCACAGCTCTTTCTCATTGTAACAGAGAACAAAAGGCAGATGGAACACCACAGACCCTCTTGCAAAAAGAGTAAAACAAAACACTACAGGAAAGATAATGGAAATACTGTATGTGCTCTGAAAAGGTTCCGTCTCAATGTGTGTGTGCAGGAGATCAAACCACAAACTGAGCAGTAAGAAGATAAAAACACTTTTTATCCATGCCCTGAGTCTAATGTTTCAGCTCAAGTTGCGTCGTCTGCACTCACTGAATTCTCTCAGTTTCTTTACTTATGCAGATGTTTATATGATGTTTTGTAAAATATTTACACTGTTTTTGTATTCTGAAGACCATCCTCCTTCTGTCTTTACGTTGCCTGATTTTATCTCACCTTGTGCTAAATTGTTTAAATTAGTTTTTTTCTTGTGTAGTTTGTAACTGTTTTGAAAGGTAAATATTAATGTTTAGTTTATTAGGCTATTGTTATAATTAGAGATATAACCTATTCACTAAATAAATATATTTATATTTTTGTGATATCATGAAAGACTACAAAAAATTAAATGATGATACTACTGTAGATACTACAAGTACCATCAATCTACTTTAAACCCATTTAGGATACACAGTGTGGTTAAAGTGGTTAAATCCAGTATTTTTAGGGAAATTCAATTCTCACTCGCTCCCTCCACATGTTAGACACTAAACTGAAGCCAGGAAACTAGTACAGGATTTAAGCGTCTTGCTCAAGGGTACATGGGTAATTGTTAATATAGACTTACGCTCAGAGCAGTAGTTTCCCTTCCAGCCCTCCAGGCAGATGCGGTTGCCCTCCTCGTCGCAGGTGTAGTGACCCAGCGTGTCGTCTCTCGGCCTGCAGTAGTCTGCGCAGCCGTCTCCGAAGTAGTACTCGTCGCAGAAGACGTGGTAAGAGTAGCGCAGCTCGCTCTGCTCCCCAAAGTGAACGTCCTGGGACCAGTCCTCGCCGATGGTAAGTCTCCTCCGGGTTGCCAGACGGCTCACGAGGTTGTTTTGGTTGTCTGCGGAGGAAAGAGAAAGTTTTAAACTAACTGCATCATGGCAAGGAAGCTGCCTGCCTCGTATGGAAAGCCCAAGGGCACTTTGCGCATGTGTCCTATCTTGGCTTTAAGTTGTTGTTTTTTTGTATTAATGAGTCCAATGAAACAACCTACCTGTGTATTCAGTAGGGGATTCAGCGTTCCAGGCTTCAATGATCAACGAAAATGTTCCCTGGAACAGAAGGAAAACGCGTTTAGTGTTTGCCAAGCGCAATAACAGGGATGCATATAGTTCATTTGGGTATTTTACGCATTTATCTGACTGATAAATAAAATGGCAGATAAACTATGGTCTTCAGTAATTTAAAAAAGACTAATTCAACTATGTCCTGTCTATCACTGTTTGTGTAACGGATTTCTATTTACCGGCCATTTGAAGTGGAAAGGCACCCTGATGGGAGCGCTGCTAGAAATCGACGTGTGGTCTGCCCTGATGACGTTGGTGTGCCCGGTGCCAAAGGTGCAAGGCGGCTCTGCAGAGATCACATCCTCCGGGTGTTTTAGGCAAATTCGGAAAAATATATGGCAGTCCCTGTGTCTTCTGCACATGCGCTGCGCCGTGTGGAATGAGTTAATTTTCAGCTCAAACACACCAGAGGACAAAACCTGCAATGAAATTAGAAAGAAATGATGTCAGATGCGCTGTGCGTAAAGGCATTTGGGGATTGTTATTGTAGGACAAAAGGAAGCCAACTTACTACGTGCAATAGGGCCAGAGCCGTGAGGTATCTGAGGTGTAGATGTGCCATTTCTTCTCGAGAGTTTGCTTTCCAGTTCTAAGTGGATGTTCGCATTCGTCGTGCGCAATGATATCCCCAAAAGACGTTGAGGAAAAACTCAAAAAAGTTTCATCACTTTGTACTCCGCGGTCTTGTTGGTGTCTCTTAAATCCTTGTCTTCTCCTGATAGTCTTTTCCTCCGTCCTACAGTCCACTTGTTTGTGTTCTGGTGCTTAAAGACGCGGAGTGGTTTTATACTCTCTGATGCTGCGCGTCACAGGCAAAGAGGTGGAGTCGGAGCGGGCCTCGGGGGAGCAGCCTGACATGGGGGCTGCCTGCCTGGGGATTTAGACAACCCACATTACACCTGGACTAAGTTCTACATAGGAATATGCATAAGAAGCTGGCGCAAGGCAGATTAGCATCCCTGCATGAAGCTCAACCACGCAGAAAAGTGAAAACTAATGCTGGTGATGGAACTGAATCGCCACAAAAGTGTATAGAACTGACCAATCTGAAACTAAAACTTAAGGGGTGCCAAAATGAAGAAATTTTTGTTATGTTTTTATAACGATTAATGTGGCTGGTATATTGAACTATTAAAAACAAGTAATCCAAGTGAATAAACATTGAATTAGTTTTAGCTTTAATATTCTGGGAAATATGTCAAGCAATGAGCGTGCCAGGACATTTTCTAATTAGTGCATTTCATCACACATGCACTTCAACAATTCACTTTAACACTTTAACAGTTTCGGGCCTGATAGAGCATTGTTCATAAAGTTTTTCTTTTCTTTTCTGGAGCACTACACACTACACAAAGATCAGAATGAAGCGAGGAAGAATAGCGCGCAGCCTTTCTTTACATCCAACATTATAATTGCTCCGACGCGTGTGAGGTGACAAAGAGTGGGCAGGTCCCGGATCAGACCGCATTGTGCCCCCCTCTGCTGCGCTCTTGAGCCTGGAGAAGGGGGAGTGAGGAGTGAGGGGGAGGGGGGTCCCTGCAGAGTTTGGACTATCATGTTGCTTTTGTCTGGACCTCATGCGAACAGCTGTATGGTAATCAACGGCACATGGTCTGCCGTGTGGGGCTCCAAACCCGGCTATTGTCTCCCGATAGCGTCCCCACCCCAACATCCACACACACACATACACACACACGCTCACACACACAGCTACCCCCTTATTGATTTAGGGAGGACTCTGGTCGGCCGTCGGTTCCAGCAGCACCTGTCGCTGGCGGGGATGTGGTGGAGGGTAAACACACCTAAACTGTTTTTACGCCCTGGAGCTGAGCCAACCTTCAACACTGAGATAAACCTGTATGACCTCATTTAATAGAACAAGCAGCCTCAAAGTTAATGTTAGGCTACAGGAGGCAGTTGTAAGAGCTCGAAAAATAAACGAACTTACAATATTTATCTGTGCTTGGTTCATGGTGATCGCTCGAGTTAAACCGCTCTTGAATGAACTGACAAAGATTTCAAGATAACTGAATGCAATTTCAGCTGCTTTTTATTGTTAATCTTACACTGTATAAACATGTGCATTGGGTTATGTGTGATAGTTGGTGGGTGGGGGTGGGGGTCTTATTGATATTGTAATGAGGAAAGAGGACGCGTGCCTGAAGTGGGCCCCTGTATATCTTGGCACGCTTTCCTCCAGAACAACAACGAGGGAGGAAACATACAAAGTTGTATGTAAAGAAAGTGAAAAGGCTGCTGGGTTTGTAAGCTTTCTGAGCAGCCTTGCAGTTCTGGTGGTTATTTATGGTCAACTCACAAACTTTTATGTCAAACCTTGAGTCCAGAACAGTGGTTCTAAAAGTGGGATTAAGGACCTCCAAGAAATACCAGGAGGTCACTTGGTGTATCTTCAAGGTCAACCTTTTAAATGTGCTCCACTGACTTATGAGTTATTATGAGTTTGATGTAGTACCAGCATGCTTTGCACACAGGGCTGTTTAAATATGTGTTTGGTATTCTATAATTCAAGTTTCACAATATTAAAGTAACATCCCTTGATTGCATTCATTATTGTGCATGAAAATACAGACAAAAGAAAATAAATATGACTTTTACATATTCCATAAGACAACAGAACAATGAAATGGGAAAACCAAGATTTTTGGCATCAACTATGTGTCCTCTGCTCAGTGTATTTTGAAAGAAAAACGTGGTTTCATGAAGCAGATTCAGGAAGTAGCCTATATAGCATTTTAGTATAAAGTATAACATTGTGATCCTGCTAATAATCCTCTTACCTACTAAAGGTAACTGCAATCTGATTACATCTTTTTACAGATTACAGGTACATTTTTTTTGTTTGCTGATTACGTTTCTTTGTTACATATAATCCATTACTCTCAAAGACTGATTGTACATTTGTTATTTGAGATTGAACTTTTATTCTTTTTCACAAAGACAAAAGACTTATTTTAGTAAAAACAAGGAATAATATGGAAAGTATTGGGGTAGGGAGGTGGACTGAATCTTATATGGCAATTTATTTAAAAATCCCCCCACCCCTTATTAATGTTTTCTTTGGGCACCATCTTGACTTTGAATAACTGCAATACCTGAAGATAATATATTTATGGTACAGGTGACAAAATGTTGAAACTACTGCCTGAATAAAGAGCTGGTAAATATTACAGCCAATGAATGAACCAGCAGGAAGCTCTGTGGCTTACAAAGGAAGAGTGAAATTAAATATAAATCATCAATCATCAATCATTTTCATACAGTGCCTAGCTGATCACACCTGTTTTCAAATTTAAAAAAAATGTTTTATACATGGCAAACTCTTTTTCACACTTGTAACTATTAATTGGAATGTGTGTGTGTGTGTGTGTGTGTGTGTGTGTGTGTGTGTGTGTAGCACGTGTGCATGTTCCTATACATCTTCATCATATATCTTACATCCTACAACCCTCATGTCTCACACATGGCCCATACATCATCTTCAATTTCTTGACAGAAACACTCATTTTCAATGTATTTGTCCATCTACAGTACCTGCTGCATGCCTCCGTGGAGCAGGGTGTGTGTGTGTGTGTGTGTGTCTTTGTGTCAGGAGAGCAGATGGACACTGCACCCTCTCTGCTGTTGTCATCCATATTACTTGCAGGAGTGTGACATGAGTGTGCCACGGAGCATGGGAACCAAAGAGGAGTCATGTCATCCCCCCACCGGACCTCCCATTAGTTTGAGTGGCCGGCATCTGCCTCATCTACAGCCCCGCAGCAGCTTGGAGATCCTTCTCCCTAAGGACACTCGGAGAAAGAGAGAGGGGGCTGCTGCAAATCTGACTCAGGCAGGCCCTCGGGGGAAAAGTCAGCCTGTTGTGTCCACTTCTGCAGCCCCAGCCTGCTGTCTGACTGTGGGATAATAGGAGGTGTGGAATGGGTGTCTAGTGGGCCGCAATGCTCTGTTGGTGTGTGTGTGTGTGTGTGTGTACATGCAGCTTCAAATTTATGCATGTCATTTGGTTGATAGTTGATCTCATTAAGATGCTGGATGCTGAAGGACTGCTGGGTACCATCCCCATTGAGAGGATGTATGGGCTGAGTCAGAGAGGGTGAGATGTTATTAAGCAAATCACTGGCTGACAATAATACAGACAGGAATACTGTACTTATCCTTTGTGTTTCTTGTCTCGGGTTAAATCACTGTTTTTAACCATTTCAGGCCTATTACTGTTAGTTCACACAATCTGTGCATTGATACTTAGACAAGCTACTTTTATTTCTGCTTTCCTCCAGACTCTGAACTCTACCCTTTTGCTTATGGCCACAGCAGCAGTGCTGGGAAGTAACTCATCATTACTAGTAATAATATTACAGTAATAATATTACTTTCCCCAGTAACTAGTTGTGTAACTAATTACTGATACATTTCAGTAATAATATTACAGTTACTACTCAAAAGAATAATTAGTAACAATATTACTTTTCTTGTAACAGTTACCTTTGATTTATATTTGGAATTGTGGAGGAACTAGTAAGGAGTAAGAGTAAGGAGTAATAAAAAAAAAATTTGAGTAACTAGCCCGATACTGCACAGCATGTACAGTACAGAACCTCTACTTCCTCTTTTACTATAAAGATTAGATATATTAATGTCCACAGTGGAACTATTACTTCACAGTACCTAAAGTACTAGCTGAGAGGACGAATCCATTGATTCTTTCCAAATAGTTCAAAGTATGAGGCTACAGAGCAAGTTGTTTGTAACATCCTTCTTTTAGTCATTTGTCACTTGGTTGCTTTTTTATTTTCCAAGAAAACAAGAATCATAATCTGTTGCTTTTCCTTCCATTGTTGCCATTGTGCAGACCTAAGAGACATTTTATAATGAATGGATGAAATGAGTAACCCCTAATGATTAAATATAGTATGATACAGAAATGGTTGTATCTTAAAAATTATAGGTTCTATCGAATGCTGGGTACCACTGGACAACTTTCAATAACCCTTGCTAAATCGAATATTTAACATCAAATGTTAACGTTTTTTTTTTGTGTTTTTAAAAGAAAATCAACTGTCTACCAATTAAGACATGATAGATATGTGTTATCAAAAACATAGATTTTTTCATGTGTAGCTGCATTTCTCAACAGCAGATTTTGTTCTTCCATTTCTAACAGAAAAACATTTCTGACATTCATTACAGGGTACATTTAAAAATACCAAATGTTGACCAAAATGCTCTACAGAGATATCAAAAATACACTTACGTCATTCAAAATAAACAGACAAACCCTCCAACTAAATACATAAACATATAACCAAGGATCTTCTATTGACACTGACAAGAGCTTTATCAGGTCAGTCAGTACAAAATAAAAATAATCATAAGATTATGTCTATAAAAAGCAGTTGCAATGTCATGGGTCTTATGATGTGAAAAAGCATTTAAAGTGCCAACATTAAACATTACATTTCTTTCAAATGAACATGTATAATCATTAATGTTGTTCACTTATTTCATCATAATTTAGATTCATTATATTCATACCACTATGTGCCATTCATCACTTATTAATGCCATCCCATGTTCCACTCTGACCATCAATATCACTATTCCACAGTACACAGTTGTGAGCTGGTGAGCTTTCCACTGGTGTGACCACATGCATTGTTCTGTGCTGCTGTTAATTCTCTCATTGTCTCCTTTTTGGCTTGATTATCCTGTTTCCCCACAGCCTGAATCCCCTGGGCTGCACAGAGCACAGCTGTCATTTCGTCTTTAAACACCTTCTCAAGAATAGGACACCAATATCCATCTTCATGACTGTTAGTTAGTTAGTTAGTTAGTTAGTTAGTTAGTTAGTTAGTTTAGTGATTAAAAGGACTATTATTTAGGATTTAGTGATATTCACCTGTAGGATTTAGTGGAATCTAGCAGTGCAGTTCACCTCACCATGCATATAGGAGAAACTACAGTGGCTATAAAACTCACGAAAAACGCAAAAGGCCCTATCTAAAGCCAGTGTTTGGTTTGTCTGTTCTGGGCCACTGTAGAAACATGGTGGACTCCATAGAAGACTCCCTCTGTAGATAATAACAGCTCATTCAAATATAATAATAAAAACACAACGATTCTTATAGATCTGAAAAGTAAAAGTTGTGATACCAAAATATAAAAATACGGTTTTAGAGTTGAAAATTAAAATTTTTGTCCAATTAAAAGTACAGAAGCATAAAAGTAACTGCAGACATTATGCTGAATGGCTCCATAAAAAGATTATATACAGTAGGCTGTATTGCTGGATTATTATCACTAATGTATTAATATATGAGCAGAATTTTAATGTTGCAGCTGTCAGTGGACACCAGACTGAATGTTTGTGAAATTGTCAACAGAAAAACAGTTCACATTGCAAATGGTTATAAGTGAAGTAAGTTCAATTTGAATCTGCAAAGAAAATACAGCTGTTAGATAAATATAGTGCAGTACAGAGTCTAGTTCCCCCTGAAATGTAGTGGAGTATTAGTATTACGTAACAGTAACTATAAACTGTACTTAGTACATAGTATTAGTATAAGTATAGTATTTTAGTATATGTACTTAGTTACATTCTACTACTGCAATACAAACATATAAATCAATTTTACATAATCCAAACAATCCCATTTGCATTCTTTCAACACAATAATAACATTATTAAACCACATGGTCATGTTGCAGCATTTTGACTTTATTAGGACTCTATATGTATCTCTATGTATAACACTCTATTAAGGATGGTGAGATTCACAGATTAGTGCACCACCATAAAAGTTCAAGATCTGACAATTTGGGATGAACTCTGAATGCTTTAACATCAGTAAAAAACTACTGATATAGAATAATTAGTAGAGGCTATATGCCTATATTATTTAAAAATGTGACCAACAATTGTCTATTAAGATTGATTCCTAAAAATCTGTACCACATTGAATTGCATAGCATATTTTTTTTGTATTGAATCATGTTGAATCGCATTCTTGAATCAAACTGTGTCAAATTGCACTGTATTACAAAAGGTGTTTATTGAATCGCATCTGTCTTGAATGTACTGGATTGTTGGCAATGCATCGAGATCCACATCCCTAGTGTCTATATATAAATAGTTGAGTACAATAATTTAAGTTGTGCTCAAAATGTATTCCGATCTTGTGTTGTCTTTTATTCTGTATGAAGACATCTACTTCTTTATATGCTTCAGCCACACAAGTACCTATCAAAAGTGCTCCAAGGAAGGAAAAGCAGTGAACCGGAGACAGGGTCATGGGGGCCAAGCTCACTGATGCATGTGGGAGTGAAGGCTGGCCCGTATGGTCCGATCCTACAGACGAGCTACTGTAGCTCAAACTGCTGAAACAGTTCATGCTGGTTCTGATAGAAAGGTGTCAGAACACACAGTGCAGAGCAGTTTGTTGGATGGGGCTGCAGAACATTGTGACCACCAGGGTGCCCAGGAGGTCAGAATGATATGGCTGATCAGTGCATGATTCCTTCTTCCCTATTCAACACACAACCTGTTTGTAAACAGTGGATGGACAATCCAGTGTTTACTTGAAGCAGACATTGGTTCATTATATGTAGCCAGAGTGAACACAAAACCAACTGGATCATTATGCATGTCAAGCCAAAGCTTATTTAGGAACTCTGCCTATTTTTCTCTTACCAGAGACTGTACTGATGGAAGCCCTGCCTCTGATGAACAGTTTCTTGTGAAGAACAACGGAAAACAGCCTAATTTGCTGAACCTTGAAAGCCATATATGTTGTTGGTCTTGAATGGGTTTCATCATTCTGGAGAATTTTTGAATTTCCTCCTTCTTTAGAAAATCATGGCTCTTTGGCTGTAGTTAAAATTCACCTAACAGCAACAAATACAGTGTATGTGTCAAAGATCCAGTCAACAGTGGTGCTTTAGTTACACAAGGACCACAAATCTTACAGCCTATAGAGCGTTTCTCTGCAGTGGCTGTGGAAAGGCAAGCATAAAAAGGTCCACATTTTGTACAGTGGTCCTCTAAGACACAATCTGATTATTGCCTTAACATATGGAACAAACAAATCTGTCCCTGTGAGTCACTGAACAAGTCGCAAATCCTCCTCCAAAACAACAGATACAATGAGGTAAATAAAACAAACTGTTTGACTTAGCAGCAGATGTATAATTACTCTTTTGTTGGGGGCACAAAAGGAGGCACAATAATTATTTAATCCCGTCCGAGCTGAGAGACAGATCTCCCTTTCTTCAGTCCTGTACCTTTCCTCCCCGGCCCAGACGTGCTCCTGCAGCAGCTTCAGTGACAGATGGGAGATGAAAGGGGGAGCTGGGAGGAATGAGGGAATGAGAACAGGTGGGGGTGGAAACTGAAGAAAAGGAAAAGGGCACAGGGGTCAACTGGGGCAATGGAAAGGGGGAGGAAACTTACATATAGACTTGCAGGGGGACAGATCGATGGATAGATTTTTTACCGTTTCATTGTGCCTCTCTAAATCTGTGTCTGTTTTTGCCAGATGTCGACCAAGTCTGGAGAAAACATGCCTACAGGATAACGCTCGGAGAAAGACCGGAGCACCGTATAGTGGCTGTACTGGCATTTTTGGAAATTATATTTTTGATCCTTAACATTAATTTTCTGCTGATGTAGCATTAGATTCAACCACATGAATGCAATGTAGTCCAGAGAAATGCAGCCTATAATGGAATTGAATAATTGAATTTAATCAGGTACAAGTTTAGTGTAAGTATTCACTTTCTAGGGAAAACAGTCGTATTTTAGTTGGAAGAGAGGAGAGGGGGATTAGAATGCAGTTTTATAGGTACTTAAAGTGAATAATGCCCGTTCACAGGGCTTAAGTCTCAGGTTTAAGGGCTCGGTAAAGAACTGAAGGTAAAAGCCCGGTTCACAATGTGAATACAGCTGCCTATTCAGGACCCCAGCCCCCCCGGCCAGACACTTATGCTTCCCCCTGCAAAAGAGGAAGCCCCGGCAGACTATTGGACTCCCGCTGCATCCCGCCCTCCTCCCCCTCCCTGCTGCGGCACTCCAAGCCGGCCCTGGCAGCTGTTTAGTCGACTGAGGCAGAAGGAGCTGCAGGGGAACAATGCAATTTGACTTAACTCAACCTCTTTCTGTCTCAGCGTGTGTGTGTGTCTGTGTGTGTGTGCTTGTGTCAGTATTTTTCCCCAGTATCTGATTAAGAATGGAGCGACACATATGGAATCCCCCATTTTAAAATCCTAACATCCTAACTATTACACCAAAGTTCAGTTGTGAATATAAGATATTTTTACCAGTAGTAAAATTTCAACTTTCACTAAATACTGATGTATAAACCTGCTCACAGCATAATGAATCGATTAAACATTGTCCAAGGAATGTGTTAGGTAATATACAATTTAGTCAGAACTAGAAAATAACTTCTAATCTGTGACAGGAGCAGTGGTTCTGGTTCTGACTCTACAGCAATGTTACTATATGAATGGAGCACTTCAACTATCTGGACTAAAACATTATTTCATATATTGTCATTGTGAAGTCAAACTATGCATTCAAAGTGCTTCAGGCCCATCCAATCAGCATGCTAAAGAACAGGGAGTGCAATAAATCCCAGTCAAAATAATAACGGTCCGCACTTGAGATTGAACAGGGCGCACACTGGCCAAACAATACAGTATTATTAGGTGGTGCTAAATGCCTCCAAAATGAACCCAATGCCCTTCTCATTGTAACTGAAGCACCCTCAAACAAAAATACAATGAGATAGGTGCTTGTAATACGTTGGATGATGAATAGCCAACCACATATTATACTATATTACTACAAATTAAATGTTACATTACCCATATATACTGATAGTACTTTTAGCTATGAATGTTCTGCTTCCTATCACTTTTTAAAATCACTTTCCTCTCTGCCACTAACTTTCCATTTTACAGGCTTGGCTCTTTCACCAGCCCTGTTTGGTCATGTAATATGTCTGCTCTAGGTGCACTCTGAAATGAGGCTCTCAGCGCAAGTTCAAGCATGATCAATGCATTTTTCATGTCCCTTATAGCCTCAAGCATCTTTCCTGATTGAACTGATTCACAGGAAAACTTAAAGTAGGCCTGTCCTGTACACAGTACTGCTGCACAATACAATAATTGTGGAGAAGAATACACTCTGGACATGGCCTCATCCTGAGTATCAGCTCGCCCTCTGCACAGTCTGGTCTCTTAAGACAGACTGTGCAACAGAGCCCCCTACTGCAATTTCTATACACCTACAAAACTGTCTGGACACCAATGCCTGTTGGACCTGTCTCCATGTGACAGCAGCATCAAAATGTGTTTCAGTGAAAGATTAAAGAATAGAAACTCTGTATTCCTTCACCTCTAAAGGAGCATCCTTTTGTTAATACATCCCATAAAAAGACCAAAACCAACAAAGTCTCTCAGCGCTTTCTGCCTTCCCTTCCTTGTCTGTGGCACTCAACCCCAAGCCCCTTCAAATTTTAAATTTTAAGAAGTTTAGAAATGTTTTATCTTCAGTGAAATCCCATTAATTTATCAGCAATATATTTAGATATAGACAGTCACCATATCCAGGAAGATATCAGTGAATTTCTGAGTGTCCACTAAAGCACACTGCAGACTCACTATCAACTAGATAAATCACTTGTGTTCGGTTTAAATACATGAGGGGTTTATTCCATATTTAAAAGAAATTATTCAAACTTCCATATTCAAGTGTTCATGTTTGCAATGTAAAAAACAGAAAATCAGACAATCACAAATTATTCAGTTACAGGTATTTTCAAAGTATCTAACTTAGCTTTCAGACATATAGACCATATAATGGTCAGGTGCGGAAATCCACTCACCATTACAGTACATGTGATAACCTCCAGACACTGATGCAAATACACCTTATACAAGGACACACAAATGGATTCGACTGACTGACTTTTTGCATGTTAACATTAAAAGAATGTAAAGGCTTCAAACGTGGTTTTATGCTTAATAAAAAAAATGCATTCTAACGCGAGTGGTAGGAGTCTCACTTTCAGTAGCAAAAAAAAACAAAAAACAACCCTCCACATGTTCTTTTCTTTATGGCTAACATTATTGGTTGTTTTCTCAATCCATTTTCATCTAACCTCACAGACAGCGAATCCATCAATACAATGTTTCTATGAATACAGTTTTAAAATATAACCACAGAAAATCTGTTGAGTACTATCAAAAAGTACAGTAACCAGCGGTGGAGTCCAAAGGAACTTAAATGTTCCTGCACCTAAAGGCCATGTATGTAGTCAGTGATACAGCTTAACAACATCTCTGTCTGACACTTCGTTGCTATAACGCTGGCCGCCCATTCAGTTTGTCATGCATGAGTGCGATGGCTCCACCTGTGAAGTCTCTGAGAACCTGCACCGTCTCCCGCTGGAGCTGCAGCGACTCGCGCACAAACTCCTGCTGAGTCTCAGCCAGCTGCTGCACCGACTCAGACAGAAGCTCCAGGGAGCGCGAAACCGTCTCCAACAGGATGTTGGTGGCGTGCTGCTCTTGAAGGCTTAGCGATGCATTATGTAGCATGCTGTCTCTGGTGTTCTGTGAGAGTTGACCTGGCGTTGGAAGTGTGGATGCCGACGTCACTGACGCTGAAGGTCCGGAGGACGTCTGAGGTTGTCCTTGTTTTTGGATGCCATTGTTTCCTTGGTGATCCTCTGTTGGTTTTGCTGCCGGGGTGGAAGGAAGCACGTCATCCCTTTGGTCATCGTCTGAGTCTCCAAACGCAGCTTCAGCATCTTGAGTCAAAGAAAAAGCTCATCAGTGTTTTTTTTTACTAAAAATATCGTGCAAGAATCCAAGGTCTTTCTTAATTGATGGTTCATAAGTCCCACCCTTCTTGCTGTGTGCTCCAATGGCAGTAGAGCAGACCCTGGTCATCTTCTCCTTTCCTGCATTTAGATATGCTATGTGCTAGGCCAGTCTATGTTAAAAGATAACCAAATTTTGAAGATGGTTAAAAGATTAAAGTGGTTTAACTATTAATTTTGACTTCTTTGAGAAATTCTCACTTAGAAGCCTCCACCATCAGAGAGACCAATATGGCTTGGCTCGACAAGATTTCTTCAGATTTTTACAGTTGAGAAAATATTTAAGAAAGAAGATCTGAAAAGATCTGGGTTTGGAGTATTAAAAGTTTTTATTTTAGCATACAGATCTGACTAAGGTCTCAAAACTATTTCTAAATTGTACAAGGGATTGCAAGAACTAAGTGGGGTGAACACTTCTTACATAAAAGAAAAGTGGGAAAGTGAGGAAAACTTCACAATACCAATGGAAGAGTGGGATAATATAATCGATAAACAATGGAAATCAAGCAACTCACTAACTTGGAGAGAGTTTATTGGGAAAAATATGGTCATACTTTGTAACACCAGCACTTAAACAGTCTACAGGTTAGCAGACAGCATGCTGGAGAGGCT